ACATACTTATACACATACACATACACATACATATACATATACACATACATACACATACACATATATATATATATATATGTATTGATATTGACGTGTGTATGAAACTATGTATGTATGTATGCATGCATGCATGTGGGTATGTGTACATGCACGCGCCCTGGCTCACTGCGCGGGGGGTTCTTCTCACATGCAATCTCCGTGCGAAACAGCGACGTTGTCCGTGTGAAGGATGGCTGCTATGCAGACCTTGCGCGCGGTCTTCCGCGCATCCTTGTCCAGCCGCTTGAAGACGTCCGTGTCCTGACCGTCTCTCTGGTCTGGTGTCTTGTTGGCCAGCTCTCAGGGTCTGCCACAGCCATCCACGGCCCAGACGAAACGACCGACGCTGGGCCTCGTTGCTTGCAATTTCGAAGAGCTTGGCAGCATGCATGTTCCTTAGCCGGCCAATATACTGCAACCGCAATCGGTTTCCCTCGGAACCATCTATGCCCAGCTTCTCAAGAGGAGACTTGTCGTTGTATACTCGTGCGAGCTGATGCTGCGTCTCCACCTCCCACACTCCACTGCTAGCATAGGATGTTCCAAAGACTCAACTCTACGTCAACTGAGCCGTGAGCAAGGAACGGATTTGTCTTTCCCTGGTGACCCACATCGTGGCAAAGCGCGGCAAGAAGCAGCGCGTACTGGCGGGCCAGTAAACTTTGCTTTTCATGATCACGCAGCCAAGGTGAAATCGTTGCAACTTGATGTAGAGCATGGTTTGCCCCGTCTGGCCTTCTCAACATTTGACAACCAAGCATCTGTGCGGTTGATATCCATGAGCCTGCACAGTGGGCAGTGTAACCTGTGGTTGGTTGCTGTCTGCATACATGAAGGGCCGACCTGTGCACAGTATACGTCACATCGACGGCATGGAAGTAGTTGTGGTAGGGGAGGCTATTGTAGTTTGAATAAACGACCTCAGCTGCTCAGAGAGCAGCAGGGGCAAACCAGCGAGGCTCATGTGTCCAGGCCAAGAGACCGAGTGAAATTTGTGGAACGTCTCGGGCTGAGCAAGTATGCGGCCAGTCGATCTTCCAATGAAGGAGTCAAAAAACATGTGCACAACCTGGCAGCGGCGGGATTTGCTGTGGTCCCACTTGACAAGAACGCTTGGCCCTCTCTGGCTGCCAGAGCTCTGCAGCGCTCTCTTCTGCCAAGCAACCACTTGCTGGTTTTGCTCCACGGGCAGCTCAAGCACGTCCAACTCAAAGGAGGAGAAGACGGACCTCAGGACCACAGCTGCCACATTGCCGAACGATGCCAGAAGGAGCTTTTTCGGAAAGTGTTTGTCAGCTGCTGTGATATGACATGGAGAGTCTGTTTAAGCTTGGAACTCGTTGACCGGTAGGTTGGCAAAACACGGCTCCGATGCGTTGGCCACAGCAGCCAACGATGTCAGGTCTCTGTTGACCTCCCCAAGGAACATGAGCGCCAACATCTGTATCCTCTCCCTGCCCGACCTATCCTGCACTGCTTCGAGTGGCCTGTAAGTGCATTACGTCGAGGAGGACGGCCCTCGCATCAGTGTCCATGCCTACAGGGGTCAACGGATGTCAATGCTTCGGCACTGCCTCTCGCAAAGGGCTGTCCAGAAGCTGGCCGAGTTTTCCCTGGTTCGCCTGCCATTTCCTCCTCGGTGAGCTCGTTCCGCACTGCAGCCAGATTGGCTAGCCGCGCGAACTTTTTGAAAATCTCCTGCGGCATCCAATCGAGGGCACACTCAATCGATGGTATCCAAGGGCTATTTGCCTCCCCTAGATCTTGATTGGGACGATATCCGGTCTCGTGCACTGTCCCCTTTGCCCCAAGCGACACGGCTTGACATTGACACAGTCACCATGTCACAGTGTTCTCCCAGTCTCATCTCTGGCTGGAGTCTGGTTGCCATGGCAAGAATGCCCAAGTTCCTCGATCAGGGCCGTCTCTGCAATCGGTTCTGCTTCTTCCTCGAGGTTGTCGTCCAAACCTCAGACAATCTAGTCAGATGTCGTCTACTAAGGTACAATGACCGCCGTTGCAAAACCAACTGTGTGTCTGACCGAACTGCTTTAAGAGATCTGCGGCCATGCTCTTTACCATGTACCTGAGCTGCCAGTCGCTTTAAAGGGAAGCGCTAACTGACATGTTTCGACTTAGCATGCCTGCACCTGGAAAATGCTACCTGAGTAAATCTCGGCCAGGCGGCAGCATACGGTCCATAGGTTGCACAAGCAATCGATCGAGAGTGTGGCTGAGAATCAAGGAGACGATCTCGGTGTGGCAGCGGGTCAAACCCAATCTTAATATGGGCCCGATAACACGCAACTGTATTATCTGCACGCTTACGCAAATGGACTGGGTCCACTGTTCCGCAGGTAGGGCCAGGTAGGGGGCTGACGAAGAAGCAAGCGAAACAAGACACCAAGAAAAACGGCTGAAACTGGGAGAGGGGCGGAAACGGCAGCAGCCGCAACAACAATAACAAGAACCACACCCACCACAACCTCCACAGCCACAACCGCTGCCGCAACCACGACTCTCAATTCCATTTCATCCCTTCGTTCATGCATGGATGACGAAGTCTCGCGGCAACTATGGGATCACTTGTATGGCTCCTGGACCGGCACTCTGAAGAGTTCACCTCTCGAACTCGAGCCACACCCCTCGAGAGGTGTCAGAAAGCGTTGAAAGGAAGACACGACACTTCGAGAACCGATGGCGCACCATCCGCCCTATAAAGTCTCAGATGCAATCTTGAATGCCAGTTACGCCGTATGCTTCAGCACGGGCACCAGCATCAGCGCGATGATGAAGCACATCAGAGCCATGTCTTGGGCCGACTCAATCCTGGCGACTCGCAGGTGGAAAGAGTTTGCACCCCCCTGGACTAATATGACTAAGACCAAGTTTGCCCTGCTTGGAAGCTTCTGTTTGCGGTAGGGCGACTGCTGTGGGTTTGTGAAGTCGAACATAATCGACGGCAGCGGGTCCGTCTGGCAAGCAGCACGCCTGGAACAGCTGGATGCATCAATCAGCACGCCGCTCTTTTACATAGAGCTGCTTTTTGACACACCGCTGCTTGACTCCGCAGCAACACAAAGGCTGTGATGCACCATCCATGGATGATGAGCAACCAAGGGTGCTTTGTGAAGACATGTGTTGCCAATTCTGCCAAGCTGCTGGACCATGCAACTCTCTACCTGGCCCAGCGACGGACGGCTGAAACCCAAGCATGCTGCAAGTGTAAAGGGAAAGGCCAGATAGCATGAGCACGAACACTGGATGCCAAGTTACGGAGACTTTGAAGATGTGCGAGATCCGGACCTTTGCAAGACTTCGCTGCGACGCGCAGCATCTCAAAATCATACGGCCAAGTGCAGCCAGAAGGGCTGGAACTGACCCCGTCACCAAAGATGCTCCTCGGACCGTCATCGTCGAGTTCTCGAGCACCACATCCTCCCCGAACCTGCGCAGCAAGGAGCGGTGCTTTGAGCTCAGGTGGCCATCAATGCATCCGAGCTGCCCCTCCAGTCGGAAGGGTTTGTACCCCACAGTGCCTCGGTACAGCCCACAGTGCCACAAGCTGAGCACTACTCGTAGAGGTGGTAGCGCCAAGAGCGCAGAATGAAAGCGACAGCCCCTGGAGCGCTGTTCTCGACCATAGGGAGACAAGCTGCTGTAAAAGGTGATCATTCTGGATACTTTCTCCTGGCGACAGCGCAAAAGCCGAAAGTGAATGGGCTGACAAACGTAAGTCCAGCCTGGAACAAATGCGAGCTCTCGGGCGAGTTGAGCTGGACGGCCACCGCTTCACTGCAGGGACAGACTACTCGCAGAGAGTTCCTCATTGAACTTCCAGGTTCCCTCATGAACTTGTGTGCTTCCCACGCTTTCAAAGCTGCCTGAATGCGTCCTCAAGCTCATCCGCCCAGGTCTTCATGGACAGGTCCTCCCATGCACACGTGCTGCACGAAATGCATGACTATATTCTCACTGCAATTTGCTGCCTGCTGCGGGTACAGTCCGATGGTGAAGAGTGGAAACGTAAATACGAGCACCTGAGCAACAGCTGAGCGTTCCAGGGTTCCGGCCAATCTGAATCAAGTCAAGTCACGATGGTGAGCATTGACACTGTGGTGGACCTGAGATGTGATACTACGGAACTGCTCACGATTTGATTCAACCGAAACATCAAAACCTTGGCCAAGCGGCAACGTCAGCATCAATTTTGTCGACAAGACTTTGGCTTCTGCAGGCTTGTCTCTGGAAAAAGAACCGTGGCGGTTGGTAAAGCGGTAAGACACCTAAGCATGGGCACAATACACTGTTAAGACATTGCGCGCAGCAGGAAACACCAAGAACGGGAAAAAAGGGAAAGCCAAGCCCGAGGCGTATTTCATGAGCTTCGACAGCCGTCCGATACGAGCCTTGTGGGCTCGCACATCGCCAATATCGCCACGCGTGAGGAAACATGCAAGCCGCCCGATGGAGGCAAGTCGGGGCTCCACCAATTCAACCACAAAAACGAAGAAAAGGTGCCCTGCCAAGCAACTCCGATCTTCGCTGCTCGAGCTGTACCTCTGCATGGCCATGATAGAGCTCGAATTCAAACATGACCAAAGCTGCAGCAAGTCTAGGCAAAGTGAGTTCCATGACTCTTGCATGGACTTGGGTCCTGGGACTTTGATTTCTGGTGCGGTGGCACACTCTTAGACTCTCTGCCCCGCTACCGCTACTGTTGCTAAAGAACGAATCCATTCCTCCTTGTACTAGTACTGAGCTTGTTGCTCTGCACTCGGATGCCGCTAAGTCACGCATCAAGACGGCATCGAAGCCATCTTGTACAGTTTGCATATCTGCCTGCCATGTTCGAGGCATCCGATCCCTGGAGGCTCTTGTGCGACTTCAAAGATCCCTTGAGCAATTCCGACTCCGGAGTGCAAGATTCTCAGGCCTATGGCTTCAGGTCTTGCATCACGTGGCACGTGGTAGAGGGCCCATGCGAAAAAGTATCTGACAAGAAACCCAATGGCATCACCGTTCTACACCTGCCTGGTTGCCAAGCAGGAAGGAGATCTCCTGCTCGCTGTCGATTGCACCGGCTAGCACACAGGTTGGCTCCCTTCCACAACTTCCTACATCGGGACGTGTTCTCTGATCTGCTGCCCAAGGCTCAAATGCCATAGAAAGGGTGCCAATGAAGTCCATCACGAAGAAGAAAGACAGAGGGTAGACGTGCATGCCTTTGAACTGGAATTCAATCAAGCACTGTTACCTTCGGAACCTGTCCGCCTGCAGATCCGTTGCAGCCAAGCAACGCGCCAGGCAATTCAATGCTATCTCTATACAGAAGACCACGGTCCTGGATTGAAAGGAAAGCTTGCTCGAGGAAAACCTCACTTCTGTCGCCCTCGTCAACTCTCGGAATGCTAGCCGAGAATCGCTATGGACATCATGAGGTCGAGTATAAACAAGCCGGGTTCGTCAGGCAAATCTGTGAGGGTCGCGAGGTCGCCACCAAAAAGCGCAACGACGACCTTGGACGTTCTTCAGAACTTCATCCTTCTTCACGCTTCCATGACTTCCACGAACCTTCGCACATCCTTCAGGGCCCGGGTGCCCGGCGAAGAACACAATGAGGGTTTGGAACCAGAAGCTATCCACAACCGGGCGGAGCACGTCCGAGATCTTGGCCTCGGCTAAGCACAGCGCTCGGGAGCACAAGATTTCCAAGGCAGTCTAAGTCCAAGTGCCATTGCAGGCGAAGAATGTGACGGACCAGGTTGTCCCTTGCCGATCTGCGCCAGCAAACTTCTCCTGCACGTGAGCATGCACTCGAGCTGGAGCGACACTGCATGAGGGCTTGACCTTACAAGCAACAGAGCAAGGGCTAGAAAATTCTGGAGGCTCTGCGGGCTTGGCCTAGGACATACCGAAACCTTCCAAACGATGTCTGCACTGGAACATGCAGTCCTCCTGGTCTTTCGGCCCCCGACAGCCTGCCGAAGCAAATATGTGGCAGTGTGGCGAAACCTCTTGCGCCACTCGGATCGTCTTTGCCTGCGGAGGCAGATCTCCCTTGGCGCCGACGCCGGGGCCTTGGCCGCTCCATAACCCTCAGTCCGCCCCTCAGTCTGCCTTCAACCTTCTGCGAAGTTTCAATAGTTCTGACAGCCGCTGGAAGCAAGGCCCTTGAGAAGTTTTAGTTTTAGTTAGTTTCCGAGACGCCCCGAGCAAGTAGCATTGTCCCTTCACAGTGTCTAGGAATACACAGCGTTGTTTAAAGCGCAAGGAGGTGCGAAGAAACAGCCTGCAGCAACTGCTAACTTCTTCAGTCTTTCGCCTGGTCCAAGACTTCCGTCCTCCGAAGACCATGTCGTGATTCCCTGCACGCAGAGATGAGGCAGGCAGCAGGCGCCGGCACGGGCAGAATGAGTAAGGTGGGGGGGGGGGGGGGGGGATTTGAGGCCTTCGACCTGCTCCTCACAGACTCTTGCGGGTGTGTCTCTTCCTCATGACCAATTGCCTGCAGGGCATTGCTCAGCTAGGCAGGCAATGCGGCGGCCAAGCATGGAGGCTGGCCTCCTGAACAACAGGGCCTTTTTGTGCCAGGATTTGGCTCATCACCCAGCTCAGGGCGCCGTCATCCAGATTGAGGCAGGCTTTCAGCACCTGGTGGCATCGCATGATCTCGAAGTGCCATCTCGCTTGGAGCTCTGAGGTTCGAACGTCTCCTCTGCCGCTGCCACGATTGCTGCTGGCAGTCGGATCTCTTTCGATAACACCTCGGGGCCGAGGAAAGAGGAAATCGCAGTCTTTGCTGCAACTGAGACCACGGACCTTCATCTGCGACAGACCATGCAGCGGAGGAGTCCGCCTGAGCCGTTGCATCCCGAAGGAACTGCCACAGGCGATGGCATGGCGGCTGGGGCCCTGGCTGAGATGCGCGATGCGCGGGAAGATCTCGTGACTTGCAACGCGCTGGCCCTGGATATCAGCAACACTTTCAGTCCGATGGACGGAAACGCCAGATTGACATTGAAGGCTCGAAATTCCTTTGTCTGAAGGCTTTGGGGGCAGCGTCTGGCAGCTCAGGCCAGGATGGTTAACAGACACATCAGACAGGTCGCAAAATGCGGAACCTGCACCTGCTGACGAGTGGCTCTGTGCCCTTGGGCATAGGTCGACAGCTTTGTGGAACTGACCATGTCCGCTGCATGTGCCAGAATGCGACACGATGCTGCGACCTAGCCGTTGCTAGCGTAAGTGGACATGAAGGCCCATGAAGGCATCCGGCAGTCTGCGTGCCCGTGAACTCCTTTGAAAGTTAACTTGAGCTGGTGCTACAAATCTCGTAATCGTGAGTATGGTGTGGCTGACCATGCTTGTCCGGGTGCAACGTCAATCTCCAATACGGCAGCGAGGATCGTGTTCAGTGATTGCAATCTGCCAAACGTGGCACAGCCTGTGCACAAATAAAGCTGCAGGCAAAGTCACTTGCCTTTACCTTGACTCCCAGCATCGGCGAGCCAAAGGTCCTGACATTTTCGCTCGAGCTGCGTCTATGGAGAAGCTTTCCAGCACCAGGGCACAGGCCCCGCATCTGAATTTCCAACCTTGGCGTCTCCAGGAGTAAAAGATCGGCCTTGCCTGGTTTTCCGGGAATCTCTGGAGCCGCGGCTGGAGATGCAGCCTGCGCCAAGGAGACACAGCTCTGCAACGGAAACAGTTCCTACCACGCGGCCTTCGGGGCCAGGGTGCCCTGGCTGGAGCTGTAGGGTGGCGCCCAAGTCTGTCGCCTTGGAACTCACCCGTCTGCTTTGGGAACGCGCCGGTCTGCGTATGCCTGCGTACAACCAGAGTAGTTCTGGGCATGCTGCCGCTGACTTGCGCCGAACTGCTCCAGATTGGCGAAGCCCTGCTCGAAGCTCTTATACCGATGGCAAGAAGGCTGCGAGTACGAACGCCTTGGCAGGTTGGTTCAGAAAGTACGGCAGCTGCACCTCAGAAAATGCAATCGCTAACGACGTGTATGAAGCAGGCAACCAAGTTGATCTTGCGATGATGGTATTTGTTACATGGGTAGCAGGCATGAACTCCGGAGTAGTGGTCACACTTCTCGCGGCTGCAGAGTCCATCCCTGAGCAGGGCCGCAAGTCAAAGGTTTGCCGGAACCGGGGATAAAATCGAGTCTGCGGCTGCATGAGGCAAACGGTGAAGCCCTCGTTATTTGCATCTTTGATGACCTGAGTTGACACACAGCATTGCGGCCGGAACTACGACCGAACTCTCAAGCTGTCAGCCTTCTGCGGGTTCATGAGGGCATTCACCTGCCGGATCCATTTATAATTTTTGTGTGATCTGCTATTGTCGTAGTGCGCGGATTCTCAAAGCCTCCAGCCGCAGCCACAGTGGCAATCGCGTCGTCAGACGAGGATAATGCCCACACTGAGCTGCCTTTGCAGGCTGCAGGGTTCAGATTCCAAAGCACAGCGGAACCTGCGTATCCCTTCAGCAAGCGGCAGCTCGAATCAACCGAAAGGCCCCTTTGTCGGAGATCTGGCAGAAGTCGCATTCAAACATTGGCTCGGAGTTCTCGCTTTACATGTTTCTATCATCCTTCTGTCTTCAGGCATGTTAACACTCGACGCATCGACGTCATTGTGCGAGATGTGGATACCATGCATCGGGAAAGCCTTGTCAAGCAACCGGCGGCAGCGGTGTTTACAGCATCAGCTCCTGAGACTGATGCCTCGGGCTGGGTGTAGAGATACTCCACCAGCGTGTCTACAAATGAGTCCTCGGAAGCCGTGCTTTACTTCACGTTGCAAGTTGCAAGTCTGGCCGAGGATGTGTGTAAATCCTGGCCAGGTTGCATCAATTGAGTTTCTGTAGGCTTTCAAAACGACGCATGGTACTCGATGGCCTCGCAGCACCTGCGGTCCCAATGCCGAAAAATGCCCACAAGATCTCGTAGCAACTGTTAGTTTCCCATGTCACCTGGAAGAGTTTGTCGAGGCCGTCCGTGCCGATCTCGTTATCAGAGAGGTCCTTCCCAGTGCCAGTGTCTCTCCTCGAGCCGAAGCTTCAGCTGAGGGCAGGGCGACATAGGCTCCGCTCTTCTTGACATAGGGGAAGTGGTTGACCTGCGAGGCAAAGGTTGCGCGTGGAGACTCTGAGAGCCTCGGACTCTGAGAGACCGGGCGACCAGGGGCATTTGCTCATCCAACCAGTCGCAAAATCGAAGCCTCAAGGACCAAAGGCACGGAAAACATCCCAGTCTCGTGGAGGAAACGCTCAACGCGGATCTCGCAGTCTGCCTTTAAGGTGCTACTTTGGCATCTTTTCAGGACCGCGGCAGGTCAGCATTGTCCATGGGCGGGTTGCGACGCTGCAGCTCGATGTGCACCTTCCACTCGGTGCGGTGCACGGAGAAAAACAATGCATCCTTCCTCATCCTTCAAACAGGGGGGACCTGGGAGGATGCCGCGAGGATGGGAAGATGGGAGGATGGGCGCCTGCCTGCCCCTGGCGCACGATGACACAGCGTTCGTCCCAGGACAGCGCCTGCGTCCCGGTCTCTGGCAGAGGCTCCATGCAGCGCGAAGTACTTTGTCGGCCCCAGCCTGGTCAAGGCGGTCCTGTCAAGCTGGTGCATCAGGCTGCAGCATTGCCCAAATGCAAGGCTGTCCTGGTCCATGAACTCACGTTCTGGAACCTCCGGCATGCATGTCAAGTAAGAGATCACCAGAGGTACCCGGTGCCACCCCGGAGCCTGTGCCAGGTGGTCTTTGGGAGCTGGATCTCCTTCGGAGGTCTCCTCCATCAAAGCGAGACTCTCCACCCAACTTTCTCAGAGAGGCCCCGTGCCGGGATCCTGCAGCCAGCTGGGTGTCCAGGCCTTTGCTGCCTTCGAAACTCCGAGTCTCACATCTGCTTTGCGACTTCTGCCATCGTCACCTACGGCCCAGCCCTTTCGGCCCTTTCGGCCCTTTCGGCCTCGGCCTCCGGAGCAGGTGGAACTTGGAGGACTTGGGCCAGCTGCTTCAAAGGAAGCGGTGCTGGCGGAGTCAACTGCGGCTCGGCCGGAGCCTCACAAGACACCGCTTTTTTTTCCGGCTCTACGCCGAGCCGAACAGTTCCTCTTCGCTCGCCTCTGTCCGCTGAACTTTGGCTGGCCGGCTAAGGTCGGGAGCAGCTGAGGGCTGCGGTGGCTTGGCCGGTTCTTCGGACTCGGCCGCTCTCTTGCCCGTGTCATCCTGAAAGCATGAGGAAGCAATGCGCTGCATTGAGGCATCACCTGGAGCGACCGAGATCTTAGCTGAGTGCAAGACCTCTTCAAGAGCCACTGCTTTGGGCTCAGAGTCTACGAGGTCAGCTGGAGCCTGCAGCTGCACCACCAAAAGAACAGACTAGGCGGCGCACTCCTTGCCTCTTCAGCCTCCTCTGCGAAAACCTCGTAGGGATCGGACCTTGCACTTCATGCGTTTTTGTACCATCTTGCAACATCCAGACTGGGGAGTGCACTCGGCCGTCACGTAAGGGTCTGTCACAGCCGCATCCTGCAAAGAACGACACGATTTTGCAGCTGAGAACTCTGGCCGCAGCTGATCCTCCGGCTGCTCTTGTTCAGCCGTCTCCTCTGGTGCTGGCTCCTCCCATCGGGAACGGGTACACAAGGTCCTTCATCTCCCGCCGCGAGCCTCTGCATTTGCGTCAGCGGCAGCAGACGCGTACCTTTCGGGCATGCTGAAATTCGCGGATTCTTCCTCGCGAGATATGACACGGCTCGGACCAAGAAAGTCCATCGTCATCGCCGTAGTCGCTGACATCGTCCTTGTCGTCGTCCTGCAAAGTCCAAGAGCTCCTATTTCCAAAACTTCCATCACAAGTCACGCCAGGGCTCTGCGGCCTTGGCCTCTGACGCCGGGGGCGGGTCCATTCGCCTGAAGTCTGCAGGGAAAAAGTGGGGGACCAGGGAAGGCCAGGCGGAATCGACGGCCTGGAACCCGCAGCCCTCACGGGACAAGCGCGTCCCAAAGACGTGCATCTACCGCTTTCAGTGCTTTTTTGGGAGGTCTACTCCGAGGTCTCAGGCTGGAGTCGCGTCCTTTTGCACTTCCGTTTCCTGCTCTTCGTCTTCGACTTGGCAAATCAACTCAGAGTATCTCAGGGTCTTGGGTCGACACTGTTTTTTGTGATGCTTTCTTGATCATCTGGGGAGCTGTCGCTGTTGCACATCTGCTTGTTTTGGATTCAGTGAGACAGAGCATGCCTTCAGCTACTTGGCCTGGCTCTTGAGCAAGCTCTTTAAAGCGAGACAGAACAAGCCGAAGGTTCGCCTCTCCAAAACCAGACAATGCTTCCGGCTCCATGTCTCGCAGGTCTCGCAATGAGTCCTGCAGAACAGAGGCTTCGAGCTCCGAGCCCCCGTCGACCTGCGAAAGGAACCGCGCTTTCCACTAGCAGTTTGTCGTGAGCTCGCGACTTGCTCGTAGCGGGCGCAGCTTTTCACGGACGCCAGCCGAAGAACTTCCAACCTCTGCTCTGCAGCACTTGCAACACAGGTGCGTGGGAGGGAGGCGTTATGGAAAGAGACGGAGAGAATACACATACGTACAAACCAGAAGATGTTGCTTTTCCTTCAGACACGGAGAAAGCACTTATGTTCTGTTTCTACTGCACTAGGACATCTCGACTATTCCCAAAGCAATCGAAGCTGGCGTTGGAAGCTTTACCCTGAAGCCAGCTTGTGGTTTGTACTATGATTGTTCTATTTCCTCTGAATCGCCTCGCTTGCGTCGCATCCTATGTTCTGTGCTCAACTCCCTGAAGTCGCGGGCTCCGCCCAACTGAGGATAACACCGTCCCAGGACAGTGGCTTGGCCAAACGGCTGTCCGTCACCCTCAGGCTTTCCACCTGGGCCGTTTAACTTGGAAAAGCCTGTCCCTACCCAGCTAAAACATGCCTTGCCCATTGCATTGCGCAGATGCGCGCCAGCCAACAGGCGCTGACGCATCTTGAGCCCCGGAGACTACAGCACGACTGTGCAATATAGGGCCTTCGTACTTTGCATACTTAAAGTAACAAAAAAGTATCTCGCCCTTCTGGTTTAAGCACATTTTCAATGACTCCGCAGTCGGCTTTGCAGGTCGAAGCATCCGGACACAAGCGCAGATTGCGAGACATGTCGCGTGAAGCGAAAACGATTTCGCAGATCGTGGCACTTTGCACAGCATTGGCTGCGTCTGTCGTTACGCTTCTCAAGTTGTGGATTCGCTGACGTTGCTGCTCATCCCTGAGAAGGGATTGCGAAACATCTTTGAGATACTGTGCCAAGTGCTGTTTCGCATGCTACAGCCTTGCAGCATCGAATGTCAACTCAGATGCTGTAACTGAGAATGAGGGATTCTATGTTCAGATCCCCCGTGCGTTCATGCGCTCATAATACTTCAACGATTGTACGATGACACATCATCATGACGAACATAGCAGAGTGCAGGTTCATGTACGGCTTAGGGCATGTGGTTTGAGTCCCTTAACGTTTACTCACACTCAGCAACCGACGAGCTGGTCATCAGCTGCCGTCCACATCGACGTCCTGAAAGGATGCCGCCGAGTCGCTCAATTAACAAGCACTTCGACTCAGCAAAACTGTAGGCTGCTCTTGGCTGCGGTTCGCAGCCATTGTCAGGTATGGAGAATTACTGACGTAAACACTGGAGGCGCATTATCTGCGCAAACTGCTCCTAATAAAGCTGACCAGGGATGCCACACTGAAAGGCCGAGGAAAAGCGAAGCCCCGGGGGCCTCTCCAGGCTCGCGCGCGCCTCGTCGAAGGCCTGGAGCGCCGCCGCGCGAAGCTGCCTCGGGCTTGGGCTTGGGGTCAGGGGGTCTTCGGCCACTGCCACTTCCGCTGAAAAAAACCCACCCTGAAGGGCAAAGAAGTGCGGCCGGAGAGCCCTGCGGGCTTCCAGGACGCGAACGGTGCTTGCGCCTTCCAATCTTCTCCGCAGAGAAGCTGTGTCCCAAGTACAGGCAAAGCATGACGCAGGGTTGTACTGAAGGACTACCAGTGACTACCAAGAACCTCCTCCTCCACTGCCAGGAAAAAGTATGCCAGGCCTGAACGACATGAGCAGAAGATGGCAGAGCTTCTCCGGTCCTATGCGCTCCCGGCCTTTGTTGTAGAAGCAGTGAGCTGTGTTGGGGTGCCGGTAGAGGCCGGCATCACATGCCTGGGACCATAGAAGTGAAGCAAAGGTGGCGGTCAGACTACGACTACTCCACATTACACCACTACGCCACGACAGCCAAGGTACCCGGATGACCTCGTGCCAGCGACCCAAGCGCAGATTTGCCACTGCCAGGTTGATCCAAGGAGCCTTGAAGTCTGGGTCAAGCTGCAGGGCTGCCTCGAACTGTGCGATGGCTTTCTTCCAGAGCTCTGTCTCCAAGCACTGCATTCCCAGAAGGTAGCGGGCTGTGGCATTCGTGGGCATTACCGAGATCGCCTTCTGAAAGTGGTCCGCGGTCTTGTTCCAGCGGCCCATCAATGCCTCGAGAACACCGAAGTTCCGGTGGATGTAGGACTCCACGAAAGGCTTGCAGGCCACGCTGCCCGGTTCTTTGCACTTCGACAAAGATGTCTGAGCTAGTCCCAGGACCATCTGGCTCTTCGTGGGGTCCCGCATGCGCATGGAACACGCCAGCCTGGACGCAACGAAAGCACCAAGCTCAGAGATGTCCGGGTAGCGCCGCAGCAGGGTCTGGGGAGACAGGCTCGCATTGGTAAACACCTGCTGAACTGAATCACCCAACGCAGCATAGACTTCCTGCAGCTGTTTCACATCCACAGGTGCAGTGCCTTGCCGAGCCTTGCTGATGACCTTGGCGGTAAGGTCTGAAGAAGTAGTGTCCTCGGCGGGAAGCTTCCAATAGCCGCCGAGCCACTCAATGCTTAGGGATCCTGGCAGTGCCTCGCCAGGGAATTCGACAGCCGGTTCTGGGTCGGGAGCATTGTGGAAAGCCAACTCCTCCTCCTCCTCCGCCTCTGACTCAGCTGGCTCCTCCACACGATGCAGGGAGAAGCCAACCCGCATGGTCCCATCAAAGGCTTTGCCTTCTTGCTGCACCGGGGCAGACTTGCAAAGCTCCTCTGCAACGAAGACAGGACACTCGTTGGACCACCAGTGTCTGATCTGCTCCTGGAAACAGCCCCACTTGCATTCGACAGGGAACTCTCTGTCTTGGCCGTCTAGCCAAGCTTCCACGTTGTCTGGCAGAATCAGCAAGCGCTCGAGGGCCAAGTCGAGATCTGCAGCCAGGATCGGAATGCAGCCAGCACCACGTGCCCGGTTGCAGAGTTTCAGAACACAGCCACCCTCTGTCGAGTGTAGCCCAAGTCCAGCAATGATGTCTGCGGCTAGGTGATCCCTGTAGCTACGCCGGAAGCAGACTTGCCTCGGCATAAGATGTCCATAGCCGGCCTCAACGAAGAAGTCACGCGTCAGCTTCTTGTTTTCAACAAGAACCGCACGATGCAGTGTCTCCTCGAGCTTCTTGTCTGCTTTGAAGCTTTCCTTGATCGCGGCCCCGTAGCCGGAGAATTTGGAGCTACGGCCATCTCCCGTTTCAAGGACTTTCACACGACTCTCCAGAGGAAGCTCCGGGTCGTACTTCAGGTCCAGGATGCCCCAGAAAACCGCGGGATTTCTTTGACCCCGCTCCGGTCCCGCACCCTGTCCCATCTGTCCCTGTCCGTCCTCCTTGGGGCTTCCGTCGGACGCTTGCGGCTGCGAAAGAGACACAGACGTCATGTGCTCCAGCAGTTGCTGAGCACTGAACTTCGAACCCTGAATTGCGGAAACCCAGCCGTGATCATCGTATGCTGCCTGAGGGCCGGCAGCCATGCCGGAGAAAAGATTACGGACGCAGCGCAGCAGCACTCTGCCGCCGAGTTGGCCGAACATGGATGCAATCCTCTCAGCTTCCGCTTCGCATCGCGAGGTCAGCGCCAAGACCGGCGGCTGCGAGGCAGATGCCAAGATGTCGGCGAGAAGGGGCATCCAGCGAGCCAGCCGCTCATCTGCGTGAAAGCAAACCACCAGGTCTGGCTTGGACCTGGACGGCGGCTGTGCACCTGCACTGACTCGTACCCGCCTCCCAGACGGCATGTCATCGCTGAGGTCCCCAATCAGGTGAAGATTCACCCGCTCTGCCTCGCCACTCAGCAGTCCTGCTGCATCTTCGCAGTAGCCGAGTCGAGCAAGCCATCCTTCCTCACCATCGCGTGCACCCAACACCCAAACATTCAGAGTCGACCGGACCGCCTCTGACATGGACCATGCTTCCCCAGCAGCTCCAGCAACCTTCCCGTATTCTCTCAACATCATGTCAAGGAAAGCGATCGTACGGAAGCAGGAGCGCTTCCGTCGCTCCAGAGGTGTCAAAGCCGCATGGTGGATGTATGCAAAGGGAATGGATGCCGGCATGCATCTTACCGGCTGTCTGCGTGGAGGGCGGGCCTGTTGATCAGAGACGGGGCCCATCCACAACACGTATTGGTAAGATCCCAGAAGCACGCTGACTTGCTCTAGTGGCGAGATGATCTCCAACTCTCGAAAGACCTGCGAAAGCGCCCGTAAGCCACCGCTGCCGTGGCCCTTCTTTCTCAAGGTTGGCCGCGCGCTGCGGCAAATAAGCTTGCTGAAGTCTCTGATCATCTCGATGATTCTCACCTGCTTGCCTTCTACCCGCTCGAGTTGCTCTTCGGGCTTGCACGCCAAGATGGAATCAAGTTGCACCTGGACGGGCTCGGCAGCCATGGCGTTGATGATCCCTTGCAGTGCATCAGCCAAGGCAACGACTTGCTGAGGGGCTGTTGGCCTCCTGACGACGTCTTCAGCAGGCCAGACATGCTGAACCATCCGAAGCCAACTTCGTTTCTGCTCTTTCTTCTGGGCCGATGCCTTCGAGGGAGGAGGAGCCGCAGCATTTCTTTGAAGCTGAGTCGAACTGGGCATCACTGCTTGGTTCTTTGATGGTTCCGTGCCATAACGTGGGGGGAAATTTGCTTTGGGTGGCGGTTGAGTAGTGGGGGCAGTTTCAGCCACATGTGCTCCTTTGGTACGAGAAAGGTACTGCTGCACAGGAGTGGCCATTGTTGTCGTCGGCTTGCTTTGGTCCTTCTTTGGGACCGTTGCTCCTCGCAAAAGCATATCTCGGCTTACTTTGGAGCCGTCCTCCAGGGTTACCATGAGCCCATTGGCCCGCCTGCCAAGCACTTTGGAATTGTCGGACAGCCCCACGCCGTGCCTGGTCAACACCTCTTTCAGCTCTGCGACACGCATGTCGCTAGTCACATCCAGTTCCAAAGACCAAGGGGAAGAATCATCCGCGCTCACGGAACTGATCTGCACACGCATGTCGCACTATCGGCGCAGTTCTGTTGCGGCCATCGACTTCCGTCAACAACCTGGCACCGGCACCGTCGGCGATCCATTTGAATGCATGGCCGTTCACATGCTGTTGTTAGCATGAGCAGCGATAGCGGATGCGTAAAACGCTGATGAGCTGCACTATGCTGTACCAGTTGCTGATCTACTAGTTTTTCGTCAGCTTGGACTGAATCGTCTCTGCTAGGAGGATCGACCGGCAATCAAGTGAAAACAGTGGTGTGCCCACGTTCCCAAGAAACGGCAGCAAGCACTTCAACTCAGCCCGAGCCCAATGTCCCTAAGATGTGCCAATGCGAGTCATTGGAGCGGCGCCGGCTCTGCGGTGAGGCCGTGCCTAAACAGTAACCGGGTCCAGGTGCAGTGACCGCGACCACAGCTTGCTCCACTTGTGTGAAGCTGAACTGCCCTTTAGCAGACAATGCAGATTCAGATTATGGATAAACATATTCGCTCCGCTGACGGAGCATGCTAGGCAACGAATTAATGCTGGCGCCTGCAAGCTATACACCTAGCCTTCACTAACATCTTGCTCTTGCAGAAACTTCACTGGCAGGCGCGAACGCATCTAAGTTCTGCGCAGCTCCGTCGATGAACTATCCTCCAAGGTCCCTGGTCTGGAAATCCTTTCTGGTGTTACGATCGAGGAGCGCGTTGCAGAAGAGCTGGGGACTCAGCCCACTGTCAATTTGCTGGAGCCAGAGGGTCAGCGAGGAGAGACTACTCCTTGGCAACATCTGCAGAGACTTAGTGCCAAAGTGCGGCGTGCCGACCTAAACACCAGCCTCGTCAAATCGAGAGGAAAACCTGCCGTCACGGTCGTGACCACCGTGACAACTCGAAGCTCGGAGGGAGCGAAGACCGACCTTCTCGCGCTTTTTGCTCGTCCAGCAGCCGTTGCTGGCTCGGTAGCAGCAGCCCTCCAAGAACGGCTCCTCTATAACACTCCATGAAACTCTTGCGATGGCTCTGGCGATGAAGGATAAAGCTCCTTGCGCGATGAGCACCCCCGCACCACGGAGGCTGCGACTACCTGTAACAGAGGTCGAAGACAACCGGCAGAGAAGTCTGACTGAGGTCAACGCGACCTTGTTCGGGTAGAGTAGCGCGCACGTGGCTGCCTGCACAGCTTCGTCCTGGACGACGATGGCAATCTGACAGTACGGCCACCGAACACAACGCTAGCTTTACATATTTATGAAAAAAACCCTATTTGGACAGACTGTCAAGTCATCATGAGGCTCCTCTGCGATTCGCCCGCGGGCCTCCTGGCAATTGCCGGAGCATCAGGCTTACGGCCATGGCCAATACAAGTCCATGATCACTTCGGCCGCACCTGCACGGATTCCTCGTCACTGCATTCGATGTCAGCACCTACACAGGCGCGAACTGGCAGGAATGTACCGAATTCGTATACTGTGCACGGAACTTAAGCTGAGGCATGCTAAGGCGTGGGCTCAAAACAATGCTTTCATGACCGCCCAAGTCACGCGGAGTCGAGAAAGCCTCGGTTCAGCGTGGGCCGCATCGACTGAAAAAGTGCTCGGCTCGATCTGTCAGGGAACCGATGTTCGACAGGCAAGGTCACCCCTTGGCCTCACCTCACTGGTACAAGACGGTACAAGTAGCAAGGCATTGCATACAGATCCGCCTCTTGGTCGGCTTCTATCCACGGGGATCTTCCTGAGCATGGCAATGCCATCTGCCCGTGAGGCTCCATGCTACAGACTCTAATTGAAGCCCCGCACTTGACATGCGGTCGTGTCTTCCCACTCTAGCGGGACCTGCCACATGAGATGTGCAAGATTGTCCAAGCGGGGGCGGGGCAGGACCTCTCCGTGCAAGCAAATCCTGAGCCACTCACCATCGCTGGTCATAGCTTTCACCGAGCCCCACCGGTTGCGCCTTTCTGGGCTGATCTGATGGTCTACTCATCTGAGATTCGCCGACTGCGCCTGGCTCTTGGTGGCAGAGTCTCGGCTTTGCCTGCGATGGCAAGCCCACCGGCTCGTAACCTTCGAAAGGCGCTGCTTTGCTGGGCTGGCTGTCGGGTCGGATGCCTCCGCACTCTGCGGATCTCACCTCCGCCGCTCGCAGCTTGGGGTGCTGTTGCGGAGCAAAGCCATCTGCGCGGCGAAGGGCAGCTCCGCACCACCAGGGCGCTCTCCGACCTCACGTACAGGCTGCTGTAGAAAGAGCAGCGGCAGAGCAGCACTGCGACAGATTGAGCTGCAAGCCCAAGGGTCCTTTGTGGAAGGTGCGGGCATGGCCAGCGGGCCCCACTGGAACAAAATTCGAGGATTCTTGAACTCTTGAAGAGTAGGTTGGCTTGGGCCTTTCGTGGATTTGCAAATGCTCTTTGTCTGCTGCAAGCGTGGCTGTTTGGCTCGGTCCCCTTGAAACATGAAAAGCGCCAGCACAATTGCACAAATGCTCAATCAAAATGCAGAGCTGGGCGGACGTGAAGGACTCCTTCCACGACTGCCGGAGCTGGACTTGCCTTAAGCGGGCATGCAGTCCCTCATGATCTCTTCGGCACGGCTTTCGGAGGCCTCTCCGAGCTGCGTGGCCGCATGCGCCACGGAAGCCGCCACCTGCTTCGTCGTCGAGTCAAACTGAAGAGAGCGAGAGCTTGATCAGCTTGGCCTGGTGGATCTCGGCATAAGCGTCTCGGAGCCTTCTGCGTGAAAATGCAGCAAAGCACTCCGTGACAAACTCATGCACACGCACACGCCTAAGTGCGCCCACCCACCCACCCACCCACCCACCCACCCACCCACCCCCGCCCAGTGATGCCTTCGGGCATGGAAGTGGCCCTAGCATGTGTTCAAAGTGGCAGATCAAGCTGGCTAAATCAGGATCGCTAAGCACAGAAGGGCGGTGCCTTGGAGGTGCGGTCACAGACAAGTGTTGCTCCAGATGAACTGTTCAACTGCCCCCCCATCGACACACATCGACAACCTTTGCTGCCCGGCTCGCGCATATCGTGACCTACTGAACCAAGCACAACTTTCACAAACCTGCGGAGAAAACAGCTGTTCGCCGACCACCGCTCTTCGATCGATCAATCGATCGATGAATCAGCGCACAGGTGGTTTCTTGTTTGCACCACGTCTGCAGAAAGACGCACGTAAAACGTAAAAACATAATTTGCCACGGGAGTGGCCACTGGCTCGGCATGGGCCGCTCGCTTGCATCCTCTTGCTCACCTCAGATCAGATCATTTCCATGCTGCGTTCAAAGCAGAAACCTTGCCCACACTAATCTGAGCCGTTGGCACGTGCCAGAATGAACCAGTGGGCTATGTACATGTGGTTCGTGTCTGGCCGCACTTGAGCTCGCCGGGTCCACAGCCTAGGACGGGAAGCCCCCCAAATTGCATCGTGTTTGTGGACTCTCTCCTTTGACTCAGCACTGGTTTGCTTCTGCCTCGCCTCACCCGACAAGTCTCTCCAAATGTTTCTGGCGATCTCTTCTGCCAGCCTCGTCAAGCGATTGCAAGCCCGCTGTGCAAGACTAGCGAAAGATGACATCAAAGCAGGAGGAAGAAATATGAGATTAACTACAGCGTTACAAACAAGACTAGTCACTAGCAGGAACCCTCAGGTTGATACTGCGAGTATCAAAAAATCCAGCGAAACACCTCTAGCACAGTTCTTACCAGTAGCACGGCCACCCCCCATCTCACCATGCTGATCAGCCATGGGCCAGGCTCCATTGCACGGAGCCCAATCTCCAGAGACTCCGCTGCTTCCTGCAGCCTCTCCTCCTCACAAACAGTGCCCCAGCACGACTGCACCACACGGCGCAAACCCACCTGCCCTACCATACCCTACTCTACCTTACCCTGCCGCCCCTACCCGAGCGGCCCTATTTCAGAATCTATGTTTTGCAGTGCGCCTGGGTGCTGCTAGAATGTCTCACCAAGCCTGGAGAGCCAGATCTCCATTATTTGGGATGCTCTCCTTCCATCCTGGTTACACGTACCTATACAGATACAACAGGTACATGCACAGAAGAACTCGTGCTTACGCATGTTTCGTGTCGCTACTTGCATGTGTACTTGTCACACCGGCTCCTCGGAGCGCTGCACGTCCAGAAGCCCAGCCTTCTCTTGGAGCCTGTCACTTCTCCCCCATCAGAGTCCTTATCATATTATAGATACGTATATATGATATGATATATGATATATATATATATATATATGTATGTATGTATATATATATATATATATATTGGAGAGAGCGAGAGAGAGCGAGAAAAGAGAGAGAGAGAGCGCGATAGATATATACAAGCACATACTACCGACAATCTCAGGTTTACCCATGTAATCTTCATTTTTGTAGGATCGAGGTAGTAAGCAGCAAAAAAAAACGCACAGAATAATCGAACCGCGTTGGACTCATTAGACCTGCCGTGTCAAATGCTGTGCATTGCCACACAGATGGTCTTGTTGCTCTCCACAATGGTCTAATGAATGACTTGCAATCCATGCCACCTAAACCTGAACGTGCGAGCATCCGCCGGCCAAACGAGAGGATGAACTCCTTTTGTTAAGTCAAGTCTTTCTTTCGCCGACTGACAGCAGGTACTCTACCTCTTCTGTAATAGCAGTTCCCAATGCACTCTCCTCCATCCTGTCACGTGTCATTCCTTCCAGCCTTTCGGCTCCTTCGTCTTGCATACCCTTGTCGACTCTTGCTTGAAATCCTACCTTTACCCATACTCTCTCCAGACCGCTGCGACAGCAGCTTGCTTTCTGCAGGTTGCTAGCCGTGCATCCGCTGCCAGTCAAAAAAAAAAGCATGCGAATGCAAAGACCGGACCGAGGCTTTCGTCGCCTCGTGAAGGGGCCCACGGCGTGATTCGCCCAGCTCGACTCGGCCTCCCCCGGCCATGATACAGTCACCAGTCGCTGCCTGCAGAAGGCCGGGCAGGCCAGCCAGGCCTGCGCTCGCTTGAAGAAGAGCATGGGGGCAAACCTTGAAGAAGGTAAAAAACCGCATACGAACACGGAATGAGACATCCCGCTCGGGCTCGAGCTGGCTCTGACTTCTCTCCTACAGCTGGACCCAGGGGATGCTGGCATCGCTGTTATAGCACAGCCGTCCTTGCTGTCTTCCTCTTCATTCTCTGGTGACACCACCTCGTCATCGCAAGATGCGCCGATGAAGGTCGGAGTTTCTCTTGGTCGCCCATGAGACACCGGGTGCTAGGCCACATCGAGCTGACCTGCGTTCCTCAGTGCTGAGCTGCGTAGGCAAAGTTCGCACGACACACAGCCGGCGCTCTATTCAGGAACTAAGCAGGGTCGCAACGAGCCAGGCTTTTTGGGCTGAACAAATGAAAACGCCAGTCTTGCCTACACTTCTGGTAGCATAGATGGCCGAAGGAACTCTCATGTGGCAAGGCGGACTGCACCATCGGTGCTCACCCGCGTCTCTGGGACTTCTGATTTCTCATTGCAACCACCTTGCTTGCTGCAGCCACCACAGCCACTTCGCTTGTCGCTGCAGCTTCCACCGGTGGCAGCACCTTCTTCGCTTTTGCTCCCACAGCCGCCGCTCTTGCCGCCGCAGCAACCTCCACCACTCTTTTCGCCGCCGCTCTTGCTCCCGCAGCCACCTCCACCGCTCTTTTCGCCGCAACCGCCGCTCTTGCAGCCTCCTCCCCCGCCTCCACAGCAGCCGCCAGAATTGATGATCTTGTTCAAAGCCTGTGCAGCAAAAACGACTTCTGGTATGTCTCGGCCGGTCTTTGCTGCAGTCTCCAAGTTCTGCTCGTCATCTGCTAACAAAAGTAGTTGAAGAGCCTCAGAGGTGCTTTCCAAGAGTGCTGTACCTTTCGAGGCCAGCCAGCGCTTCTCCTTAAGCTTGGCAGCAAATTTTGGAACGAGCTCTTGCAAGGCGCTCAGGGCGGCGTCTAGCGACGCGTTCTTGGTGCCCTCCGCACGCAGGCATTGTACAACCGCCAGCACGTGCTCACACTGCTGCAGCTCCCCCTCGACACAGAAGTCGATCTCAAGGTCTGGATGCTCTTGCATAGGCTCCACGGCTGCTTTTCCGGGGTCTTCCTCCCGTGGCTGTTGCGGCTTCGGCTGCTGCTGAGGCTTGGGCTGCGGCTGCTGAGGCTGCGGAGGCTGCGGAGTCTGCGAAAGCTGAGGCTCTGCCGGCTTAGCCTGGATGTCAAGCGCCTTGAGAGCCCTCGTGTGGCGCCAGAACAGCCAAGCGCTCACGGCGCCGGCGGAGACCCCCGCCACCAACACCGGAGTCCAAGACCGGGACATTGCAGCTGCAGGGTGAGCTGTCACGTCTATCGTCAATAGTGAGTAGAGAGACACACACACACACACATTATCCGTGCTGCGTGGATGACATGTCACGAGCCTCTCTCTCTAGAGCAGATGTCGGATCCGAGCCGGAAGATCGATGATTCACGTTCAACACAGCGTCGAGCAAGAAGTCGGAATCGGAAGGGACTGTTGTACTGGTGGCGACCCGGTGTAGGATTTGTGGGATGCACTGCTCTCAGGCAGGCACCGGTCCTCATCGGCGGTTGCCTGACGGGACCCGGAGGTTTTAGTCTCGCATTGGAGAAGTCCAAAGGGTGGCCTCAGGCGGGTCGCCGAAGAAGCCCGGAGTCACCCGAGGCAGCACCAGCCTCTGGCAACACAGCGAAGAAAGAGTGAAGAAGCCTGAATCGAGAGCTCCAAAGAGCAGAGCTCTCTAAACCTTTGCCCCAAGATGTCGAGGCAAAGAAGTTTTGGAAGTGTCCTTACTTTATGGGACTGGGGGATGTCCGTGCAGATGTCGATTAGTGGGATGTGGCCTGACGAAAGCTGACTGCGACTGCGGTATACTCCTTCACTGTCGGACTGTACACTCGACGATTGAGCCTTGCGAGTATAGAGGGACCGATAACAACAGCTAGGTCCCAAGCAGGAATCTCCTGTGGTAGGTGGCTAGCCAGAAAGCAGGTAGATGAAGGGCTTAGGGTTTTGGGTCGGGAGTGATGCCTCGCGGCCTGTCGCCCTTCAGAACTCCTACGTTTGAACAAGCCGTGTCTTCAATCAACCAAGAACGGACCCACAGTTTTGCGGTCTTGCTCCGGGTATGAATCCGGACACACTCAAACTTCAGCAGATTTTCCAAGACACGGACGGGCCGCCACGGTCAGAGTACGAAGATGCCTTAAGAGCAAGGGGCTGTGGAGCAATGCACCTTTCATACCTTTCCAACTACTGTTCTCTCAGAATTTCGGTACCCACATCTGAGAAGAACACAGTGCGCAGTCTTGGCAGGACCGGCGCAAACGCAGCGGCAAAGGCCATCGTCCACCATGTTCATTCTGCTTTGGAATCTTGCACATATTTGAGTTCAACCCTGGTTGGTGGGGTCTGCGGCCTGGGAAGTACAGCTCAGATTTGTTGTCAGGACACAGCATATGTGGCGGCAAGATGGGGGCGGTGGGACTGAACCGCAGCGAGGTCAACCGGAGTCACACATGTAGCACATGATATCACGTGATACCCCACTTGTAGCTACAGTAACATCTAACATGCAGCCAGTCCAGTGCCCATCTTTCGTGCGAGCTCCGCGCGTCGTTTGAAACAGCGACAGACACTTTGAGTTCCACCAAGCCGTGATCCAGCTGATGCACTGTCTGTTCCACTTCTAGCTTTACTGTTCGGGACAATGCCGGGCTGTGGCTGAAGGCTTCATCAATTTCAGGATATCTGCGATGAATCGGCCTACACGGGTCTACACATCGAAGACAGAATTCAAAGACTGCGCGAACTTCAGCGCGGAACCATCCTTGGCAGGAGGTGCAGGTTCAACCAGTTTGGGCTGAATCTGCTGAGATCTGCACTTCTCCCACGAACATCATGCTATGACGACCGACGGCGATGAGCTGCAAGGGCAAAGCTGTGGGCTCAGAGCTGCTCTGTGACGGCGACGAGTCTCTTTACTCTCCTCTTCTCTCGTCTCTCCAGGTGAGCAATCCGGCCTTTCCAGAGGTAATGTCTGTCACTTCCGCCTCCGCCACGCCCAGCACGCCACCAATCTGCAAGATGTCAAGCTGCCATAACATCTTCAGTTTCATAGCGGCTCATAGCGGTTCCTCAGAGCGTTAGTGGGAGATCACTAGGGCCAGACTAGTCTGCTGCACGCCCAGCCCCACCTTCAGTATCTTAGTGTCGATCTGCAGGGTACGGCCAACTTTTCCCACTCCGACCTCAAAACTCGCCGACTCTTTGCTTCACTCGTGTTCTCTTCCCTCCTAAACCTCAGCATGTGGCATATGTCAAGTTCATGTCGGTCGTGACTGCCTGCAGGAATTCATGGAAGCGCAGCTCTCACTTAAGTCGGGAAGGTGCAGCCCTGCCAGACACTACCAACCAGAGGGCCGCGAATTAAGCCCCAAAACAAGATCTTGTCTACTGGCTCGGCTGGAGGCTATGAGCACAGGCAAGCGCGAGCTTGCCTTCCGGCTTCGCACGTCATTTGCACAGATGTGCATTGTAGTCGCCTTGCTGCGAACTCACGGCAAGCGTGTGATTTCGGTTCGCCCACATGTGCTTCAGCGCCGGGACAGCCGCATCCTCAACGACTGTGGCGATGACCCCTGCGGCTGCCATGGCTGTTTCAAGCAAATTGCAAACTTTCCTTGTAGCAGAGATGCCCACCTCCATGAACAGTTTGCCCCTCCTGGACGACATGACTGGTCTTCAAAACAGCGTCGAATTGAGATAAACATTGAACTTGGCTCCTGGGCCATGGCGAAGGCATGACAATCGCTTTGGTGGAGCGGAAACTTGGCGCCGTCAGGAGCTGACTGCTAAAGGTGATTCTAACTAATTTTACAGATTTTCATCTCAAGAATCAGTGCACTACGATGCTGCCGAACTCATCGATGCTCTTCGAGCTGCGAACAGATTATGCCCTCTGAGAAGGTTTAGGCTCCCGGGCTTGAAAGCTACTCCTCTTCAGGTTCTCGCTAGACTGCAGGAACTGCAGTCCTCAGCAGTTCTGCAGTCGCCAAGCTCTCCTGCTCGGCTCCGGCGATCTTTCTTAGCTCACCGCGCTTGCTGATCACTGAAGAGAAGCTATTCTGAGCCTCGGAAGCTTCCACCGCTCACGCCATGCCACATGAGCACGATGCCCGAGGGGTCAGCCCGAGTTTGCTGAACGTACTGGTGGAACAGCTCACCCAATCGACATCTGACCTTGACTTGCAGTCATATTGGGCCGCCATTCGCGCTTTCCACCTTGCCACGTATCCAGCCTGCCTGACTCTCTAAGCGCTGCGCCGCCATGAAATCTAAAGCTCTTTGAGCAGCACTGGTTCGCCGAAGCTCGATGCTACGATCACGTCTACTTTATCATGTCGAGCCACGTGCCTTGCCGGCAGCTGATTACTTCGTGGTGCGAGCGCGCGATCTACCGAGCAAAGGAGGATGAAAAGACATACGCTGCGCCAGCACTGCTCAACGGCAACTTTTCCGCATGGGCGCACAAAACTCAACAACCAAGTACCGCGGTAGATATGAAAAAAATCTATCTTTGACGCTTGTCCGTGCTCCTTTACGTTCCGCACCGCCTGTCACCAACACGTTACGTAGCCAACTGTAGTCACTGGTTGTCACTTTGGATGAGCTCGCGGCCCTTCATAGTTCTCCAGGTATCGTGCGGTGCTATCACTATGAAACATAATGCTGCCGGAGCCTCCATGCTCCAGAGCGTCTCGTCAATCACTCAGAATCAAAGCTTGCTGCCCGACCTTCAACCGTGAACGACAAAAGGCGACGTGTCTCCGGTGATCAAGACAGCGCCTCATCAGGCAACCTTCTCGGTCTCCTCCCGACAATGCTACGACACAAACTTTGCAAAAGGTTTTACTCTCCACGCCTCTTCCCACAAAACGATCTTGGGGTCTCGTCTGAAATGCGCGAGCCGATCTTGCTGTCAAAGGTGCGGGCCAAATCAAGCTCCGGACTTGCAGAAGGTGCGAACTGCCAAGGCTAGATTGTCTGTGTCCTGAACTGGAGGTCAGCGTACATGACACATGCAAAAGTGCAAAAGCCAAAGGACAAGGCCCTGGACTCTTTCGCTTCCTGGACCTCTGTACATGCCGGTCTTCCTTCGGAACCCGGACGCAAAACGGACATCGGAACTGATTGGCCAGCAGCCCGTCCAACAACAGGCACGAGTCTGGCAGCTCCGTAGCTGCACAAACCGTATTTTGCAAAGCTCTTCTCTGCCTAAATGGATGTGGATTGTGCCTAGCTCGGGCAAGACAGGAACGTTGCGCCCTAGACCAGGGGGCTCAGACTGCCTGCGGCAGGATCGAACCAAAGCTCCAGCTCCTTGGTATCCGACTAGCAGCGAGCCGCCGCACATCAAAACGCATGAAAGGAAACAAGCTTGAAGTTCAATCCAAGGATCGGATCCGGGCGGAAAGCCGGCAGGGACCGTGAAGTTCAGCTGTCTTCCATCAGGGACCGTGACTGCCAGGACCTGGAAACGGTCTCTCGACTCACATCGGCAAGTCAACCCTTCCCGGCGGACCGCTTTCGAGGACCCGTCATGACCCGACCTGTCCAGCCACCACACCGTCCGGCACGAGGATCTTCAATGCCTCGACTGCAGCAGATGTGTCACCTTCGTATGCTGGTGTTCCTCTCCCGGTGTTCTTTGCTTGACCGCCACGTCGCCTGTCCCTCCGGTGCAGGCGGGGCCGACACTGCAGGACTCTCCTGACAAGGGATCAAAGTAGCTGAGACTCGAAGGGCAAACCAGCGTTTGAGTGCGGTAAGTCTCGCGAAGTGCGGCCAAAGGCTCTGCTACCATTCCGGGTGCGAGCGTGTGGATCCTCGGACGAAGAATCAGGAGATCGACGTCTCTCAATGGTCCGATTGCAAGAAAGGCACTGGCCAACCTCCAGGAAGCCCCGCAGCTCCAAGCACCAGGCTCCTTCACGAAAAAACCAGCACGACATCCTGCGAGCGGCTCGAAAAAATCCTCTGTCGGCCTCGGCCGTTGGGATGGTTCAGGGCACCTTTGAGCCATTGCTCCAGGCCGTGCCGTCGCTCTTCCAGTTTGGCACCCTGCGGAGCAAGGTTGTTCTGTGCACATTTGCCGCACTGGTTTGACAGGTCTGCTAAGAACGGGGTGGCCACGGCAGGAGCTGCCACTTCAGTGAAGTGTTCGCGCACACGTAGGCAACAGTCTCTGAAATTATCGCAGCAATCCTGTCGACCGAAGCGAGTGCTACAACTCCGAGGTCTGAGGCGCGAGTGTTGTAAAACTTGGCAACAGCATCTTGCCCATGTCCGTTCCATGATCGAAGTACATGTTGCCGCTGCCTCGCAGCTGAACAGATGCTTCGGGGGGAAGCCACGATCAATCATCGATCCCGGCGCAATCCTCACCCAAGCAAAGATGCTTGGAAAAATCAACCCAGCAGTTGTCGATGCTTCAGAAAATGACGCTCCGCTTCGAATCTACGGAACTGTTCCGGAGAATGTCCTTGCCAGTCTATCCTTCAAGGCATCGAACTCATTGTACCTCTTTTGAAGACGGTAGGTGGCACCAGTCTCCGGCATGACCTCGACACCGAAGTATGTCACCTGAGCTGCAGATCCCACACCGGAAGCCTTCCACTTCCACAATGCTGCTCCGTCACCCCGCTCTTCTGCTCGATTCCCGCCGCAGGGATGCCGATGGCTGACACTGCCAAGGGAGGCATCTCGACGGCCACCATGGCCGGAGCCCCCTTCCACTTGCCCTTCCCTTTGCCCTCCGGCAGCGCAGCGGCAGCAAAGGAATCAGAGAGAGAGAGAGAGCAGAACGGAACGCTCGCCCGGCCTTGGGCGGGCCGGAGGTCGCTGCTGCACCGACGGCCGCGCCTTCCACTTTGGCGGGGCACCGTGTCCGCGCACGCGGTTTAAAGTTTAGGCTTCTCCTCATGCTCTCGCCTACGAGTGCACCGGCAGGTCCACAGGCAGCGGCACCTACTGCACCGCCGGCAAGGACGCCAACCTGAGCACGCAATGGAGGAGGCAGCCACTGCGTATCGGCAGCCACGGCATCTGAGGATGCTGCAACGGGTGCCACAGGTGCGGGCCTGGGTGGTGCTTCCACCAACACCGCCCCAGACGGCACAGGATTAGGAACCACAACCTTGGAATTGTGAAGGTTGCGACTGTGGCAGAGGCAGAACGATCAACCATCCAATGTGCTGTCAAGCAGCCACTTCTGTGCGAGGGGGCGGCTTTCGCGAGCCAGCAACAGCGGTAGCGACAGCAGCTCCAGCAACTGCCTCATAGTGGAGGAATAATTGAAGCGTGGTGCCGTTCACGGTAACAGGAGGGTGCTGCAACTGTGCAGGAAAGACTCTGCTCCTCCGATCAAAGCAGCCTCTGCCACTGCACCACCGATACCGTGATGATGATGGGGATGATGATGGTGGTGGTGCCAGTACCCCTTCCTCGAATCAGTGGTTCGGATGCATGCCGAGAGTGCATAACCCCTCTCTTTCTCATCCTTTCTGCAACCTAGATCTTATCTAGTCAAACCACTTCAAGAGACGGCTAGGCTGCGGCTGCCCCAGTCGGCATTCCCCCTCCCGCTCTTGCTCTCGCAGCAACGCGGTGGCTCTTGCAGCCTGAGCACCCCTTTCCGCCCCAACCCATGGCTACAGGCGGACGCTTACAGGGTGGCAAACGGCAAGAGCTTCGATACTGGAAACGGCCAGGACCAGCATCTGATCTTTGTGAGGCACCCGAAGTGGAGCAAAAGCAGAGACAGCAATTGCTTCACACATGAAAAGGGCGCCCACATGCCAAAGAAGCTGTCCTCCATCATGCGTCCATGGCAGCCTGCCCGAACAGCAGGAGGCACCTGCCACCAGGTTGACAAAACAAGTCGAGCAAGCGCATTAACAACGACAGGCAGCTAGCCTTGGACGCATCCCCGTAGACAGACTGCTTCAAGTCCTCCAGCGAGCTGCGGCCAACGTGAGCCACGACCCCACCGAATTCTCTGAACCCCGAACCTGCACTGTTGCCATTGCAGGAAAGTAGAAGACCTCTGCGTTGAAAGGTCGCAAGCATGTGCAGCTTCCCGCAGATTCGAAAGCTTTGGTCCACACGGAGCCATTTGTCCAGGATGTGAAGAAAAGGTTCTGCTTCTTATCAGGTTCCACCTCTGCAGTGGCTAAGTGGAGCGGCGAAGCACCTCTTCGTGCATTTCTGTTGCCTCCTTGTCTGCGATGAAGACATTGTACCTCAGAAGACCCGAAATCGTTTCGGGCCCTCTGGACTTTGAAGCTTTCAACATATCCGGGCGCACTTGTACTGCGTCTCGGCACGCCATCGGACCCAGAAAAGTGCTCCAGGGTAGAGGAACACGACGGTGTACTTCACGTTGGACCTGAAAGCGGCTTCGTCGGGAGGACCGTCACGACTGCTTGCAGGCTCCGGACTGTGAGTTCCAGAATGTCTCGTAGAGACGGCCCATTCGGAACCTGACGAAGTGAGCCACGGATTACCGAATAAGCAATGGCAGATATTTGGGTCAGCACAACTTCTCTGAGCACTCTGCTTGAGACCCTCTTTGAGGAATGTCCAGGCCTTAAAGAAAGAAGACTGCCATTCCTCCGTCCCCCCGCTGATGCAAAGCCATCCAAGACCCCGGCCCATCGCTTTGGCAGCGCTGCCATACCTCGGAGTGCCGCAAATCTACACAGAAAAGAAAGCATGCATGCTCGTGCAGCCGCAGAAATTTGGTTTGAACATCTTATGCACATGAGCGTGTTCATATGCGTGGATGGATGGACAGACGGACAACTGACAACGACAGTAAGATGGCTATAATATAGGATAGAACATGCAGGGCTGACAGTCATGGCAGGATGCATGATCACGCACACATGCCAAGCGCTTCTTGGGTTTGCACAAATACTGCTATACGTATACAAAGATTCTGACATAGATAAAGAAACAAACGTTTATAGTCAGTGTAGAGTCGTCTTCCTGAAGGCTGTACTTGTACGAAGCAGGGAGATATGGACACATGGGAGCGTAGAGGCATAGACGGCATAGAGGCTTTGAGGCTCAGGGACAAGCGCAAGTACAAAGTGCAAGCGCAAAGTTGCCTATTGGCCGGGACACAGATCTGTGAGCTTTGTCGGCAATAAGTTCGGACCGTTGACGAGTGCACTTATACAAACGCACTGAATTGCATTACAATGAGAACCGGACACAGGCCTATAGAGAGAAGCATACTGACGTAGAAAAACACGTAAGGCGCTGAGGTACGCACTTTCTTCAGAGCCCCAAGCAGGAAAGCAGTGCAGGGGTTTGGGGTTCCCTGGTTGAGCCGGAGTTCAGAATGCATGCAGCATGTCACAGCATGTCGCTTTCTGCATGCACGGCCACTCTCGACTGAATCGGGCACGGCCAGAGACGCATTTCTACAAGCGACGCCTCTGAAAATTGCTGGCAAATCCTACTTGAGAGGCGGGTGCAGTCAGCTGGTTAGTCAGTGTGGACAGCTTGAAAACGTGATTTGGCATCATGGACTCAGCCGCGTCGGATCACGGGTGAACATGGCTGCTTTGCGGATGTTGTCCAAGCCCAAATACCTTCAGCTGCAGCGCGCAAGACTCACGGTCAGGGGAAACGGATTCCTGCTACGATCTACTGCGACCTTGATCAGACCAGCACTCCGGTACCAAGATCCGCACAGTTGCACGATCCGCTCGAGTCCAAGCCCAACACCCCCATGAGGAGAGACCTCCGGTGTCATCATGTCACGGGAAGGCATTATTGATCATCAAGGTCATCTGAGTCTTCCGACCCCGTGTCGGAAGGAGTCAATGTAGCCCCTGCATCTGAAGCTGTGGTCGAGACTTTTGTCTCTGGTCTCTGCCACGGCACTCCGCTTCCGATGATGCCTATATCGCTCTCAGTTGTTACTACACGCTAGCAGCGATTGCTGAGATGTGAAGATTGTATTCACGCCCTTCTGGAGCGGGAGACACCGGGAGGCCCCGCTGCAGCGGCTCCGTGGGCACGCCAAGCTCCGAACATCTCGCCTAAGTTAGCTGGAAATCTCTGCAGAGCCGAATGACCCCAACCCTCTCGCTGCCTCCAGCAGCTCGGGGTCATGGCACCTCTGCGCGCCGCTGCCGATCTCCTCCAACTCATCCCGAAATTAGTACGCAATCAGACTCCTACTTTCAGTTTCTCTCATCATCCCCCACGGTCTCAGCTATTAAACGGCCACTGGCAGCCTGACCACGAAAGATGACGTCATAAGAGTTGGAGTACTCGGGCCTGCCACGTGACATGGGCACATACGACGAAGCCCAAAGCCAGCAAAACAAAGCGGATTTGCAGCCGAAGGAAACATGGCTGGAGCTCTGGTCCTTTGATGGCATGGTGTAGAACGGCCTCACAGGTCTTAGGGGTCTCGTCAGCCCTGTTGAAACGATTCACATGGCCTGACAGCAGAGGGGTAGTTGTCCAGGAAGAATAAGTCCGAGCCTCACGAGGAGCTCAAGCACGAACCAGAAACATGCACTGTGGAAGGACACGACGTAGGGTCCCAGCCATACTTCTCAAGAACCAAACTTCCCAGCAGTCTCTCCTCCTCTGTGCTAAGGTCAGCCATCATGTCCTGCAGACATTGCGCAGGATTGCTGGACGAATTAAACTATCCGATCTTTTAGAAACACGGCGAAGGCACGATTTGACGCACCACTCTTCCTTGCTTGTTCTGCAGCACAAACTTGATTTCAATCGCATGTGCTGGTCCACACATTGAGCAAGAATGTGCGCGTATGGCGTGCGTAACCACGGAACCTGCACACGAATCAACATACAGATTCGAACCCTGACACGCAGCTTGAAAACGAAGGGATGTCCAGCTGCATCTGCTCCGTGACAGCTGAAGACTTGGTTGAATCACCACATCCAGACTCGACCACGGGCACAGCTGCTGATCACAAGCAAAAGGTGAACCAGTCCTGAAAATTTGTGCTGAGATGTCCCTCATCGTAGTACCGCATCGAGGCTTGAGAATCTGTGCACCGCACGGGTCGCAAGCGAAAGGTACATCTT